TCTAGAGCTTTATTTGGTGGTTTCCCATGTGGACACATGAGGCAACCAACAAATCTTTATTTATATATTTATATACATGATGGCTGGTGACTCTGCAATAGGCACTTAAGCCTGTACACTCTAGTGAGGCTTTGCTTAATCTTTGGTTTAAGGTGGTTTCTTAACATTGTACATGGTTCTGTCTCTCATTACAGCAGGCCAATGAGGCTCTGCATCACCAGCACCAAGTAGCCGGAAACAGCCTCTTGCCTTTGCTCAATTCTGGAACAGAGCCACCTGATCAGAAACCGGTGCTGCCCATTCCATTGGACCAGAAACCCCCTGTCAGTGCTGCAGAACTTCTTAAAGACAATGTGGCCAGTGGGACTGGAGGAGGTGGTGGTGGGCCTCCAGTAACCATGGTCAAAAAGGAGCCCAAGTCAAAGACGCCCTTTATCTGCGGATACTGCAACAAGGCTTTCCGAGACAGCTACCACCTGCGGCGGCACGAATCCTGCCACACAGGCATCAAGATGGTTTCACGGCCTAAGAAGACTCAAACAGCCCCCACCATGGTGCCGCTAATATCCACTGTACCACGTGAAAATAGCGGAAACCCTTCATATATTACTACTGTAGCTGGTATCTTGACTACAGCCACCACGTCAACAGCCACAGGTACGAGCATCATGACCCCAATGCAACACCAACAGCAGCAGAGCATCCCTAAAAAGCCCCCCAAACCAGTGAAAAAGAATCACGGTTGCGACATGTGTGGTAAAGCCTTCAGAGATGTATATCACCTCAACCGCCACAAGCTGTCGCACTCTGATGAGAAGCCGTTTGAGTGTCCCATCTGCCAGCAGAGGTTTAAGAGGAAGGACCGCATGACATACCATGTCCGCTCCCATGATGGTGGAGTTCACAAGCCTTACATCTGTTCTGTCTGTGGGAAGGGCTTCTCCAGGTATTTGGACATTACAGCCTTTTCTATCTACCTGGCACCAGTTGAAAATAAAACCCACCATATCTAATAATAGACAGTCACTTGCTATTTGATGTTTTTCATGAAGAATATGTTGAAATCAATATTTGTGAAACTTAAAAATGAGATGTTCCCATCAAGTTTTTCCATAAGCCCTTTCCTGGTTAGACACCTTTATTTACGATGGTGTCCCTGGGTGAATCATTCCGCTTTAACTGCCAAACAAATAACAAAGTGGTGTTAAAAGAACTTGCTGTTCAGCTGTTGGCATTCGTGAAACACTTTACATTGGACACAGTCAGATGTTTGAATGACATGATACAATGCTGACATGTCCAATCTGTTGACTGTGATGCAATCAACAACATGACTGCATATCCCTATGAAATATTCTGCCACGTTACCCAGCCATTATCATTTATGTGACTGGAATGATCCTTCTAGTACAGCTAAAGTTAAAGAATTTCCTGTCTCTTACGTGTCTTCTTCTGAATTTGCAGACCTGATCACCTAAGCTGTCATGTCAAGCATGTCCATTCCTCAGAGAGGCCATTCAAGTGCCAAGTAACAGTAAGTCTAGACTCGGTCTCCTCTGCAATATTGATATAATGTTTGCTCTGCAATAAGTCTTGTTATTGTTGATACACACAGGAACATGATTGAGATCTCTAATCACTGTTGGTGCAGGTCTTACCATTTCTGAGCAGATCATAATAGTCCCCATTTCTCTTTCTCAGGCTTGTACCTCCGCCTTCGCTACCAAAGACCGTCTGCGCTCCCATATGATCAGGCACGAAGGCAAAGTGACCTGCAACATCTGTGGCAAAATGCTTAGTGCTGCCTATATCACAAGTCACCTCAAGACACATGGCCAGGCCAGCTTCAGCAACCCATGTAACAATAAAGGTAGGCCTCATGTCTACTTGTCCTCGTCTTTCTTTACTTCACACTTGGGTGTGTGTCCCTCCAATATCCACAACATCCCAAACAGTTTTTAAAGTCATGGCTCAGACAATGGCTGATGACCTTGGCCAGAGGGGAGACACTAAAGCTGAGTACAGCCGTTACCTGGATGAAAATAACTGACAATGGTTTAGAAGATTCAGACATAGTCTGCTGTGCTGCTAGTTGTCCCAGTGGGCAAAGGGTGAGGGGGTGGAAAAGTTGTAGTCCTGTTACAGCGTCACTGAGCTTGATTTCTCAGCCTTTAAAGCAAATAGAAACACAAAATAAATACCATCTGAAAGTGTCAATATTTCCCTTTTGTTCTTAACCATTTCCTTGGCTCTAATGTTCATCACTATTTTTTTATTAAACTCAAAAAATTCAAACAATTGAACTGAACAGAAATCACTGATTGACAAATTGGACAAAACAGGATCCAATGATGAAAAAATAAAACCTCAAGCTCAGACAAATTAAACTACATGTGTGCCTCAACCATGTACTACGCTACTGAGGTATGCCCTCAAGAAATGTACTTTCAATATGTATATATTTTTATATTATAAAGATTTTCATCGCTTTTTTAATTGCACTGTGTAATAGAATTTTAATGTTACCTTAACCACCTATCAACATGTTTTTGAGATTTAAAAATACATTGTCATGTCAGGAGACAGATAATATGTTCACATATGACCAACAATTCCTCCAAAAATATTAAATATACTGAAATATTATCAAAATATTAATCTAACAGCGGTGACATAGACCAGACAGAGTTGACCCATATCTGATGGTGTTGACAAAAACTTGAATTTGTAGCAATTTTTGTTCTCAAATACATCGAATCAATCAATTACAGCAGTAAAACAAAAAAACAAACAATAAATAGGTTGTTAATAAACATTTTATTCACATTTAAGTGTGCACTTTATTTTGACTTTGAATTCCTTTGGCCTCACAGTTTTATATCTCAGACCAAATTGCCTCATTTAGCCCAGCAGCTGGTATTGGCTATTTCCAATTCTTTCTCATTTACCTCTGTTCTCTTTCACTAAAATCCATTATTTGCTTTATTTCTTCTTCCCTAACTCCCTGTCTCTCCTGTCTTAGAAATTCTTCTTTTAATTCTGGCTGTGTACTGATTTTCTCTCTTTGATACTCCCTGTTCCTCCATATAAGAATATTGCCTAGCTGGACTTAAATGCACAGAAAGAACACCTCAATATTATTAATCATATTTTCCTGTACTAGATAGTGAGTATGCCTTCTGGGTTTATTAACACCAACAATAACACTTAAGAACATGTTGGACCTGACTTCACATAAAACTACGTAAAGTGTGTGTGTGTGTGTGTG